ATAATTAGAACAGTCATTTCATTATAACAGCATTGGCATATTCAATAACAATTTCCAGAGCTAAGATGCTTCTCTTTGTGTCAACTTGACACACCTGGGTGAGGGAGCCTCAATTGGGGGATTGCCTCTATGGGACTGGCCTGTGGCCATGTCTGAGGGGCATCTTCTTGATGAGTGATGTTGGAGGGCCCAGCCTACTGTGGGTGGTGCCACCCCTGGGCAGGTGGGCCTGTGTTGCATAAGAAAGCAGGCTGAGCAGGGGCCAGGAGAGCAAGTCAGTAAGCAGCATTCCTCCATGGCCTGTGCTCCAGTTCCTGCTTCCGGGTTCCTGCCCTGAGTTCTTACCTTGGGCTCCCTGATGAACTGAGACCTGGGAGATGTAAGACAAATAAACTCTTTCCTCCCCAAGTTGGTATTGGTCAGAGTATTGGGTGTCATAACTTCCTTTCACACTCCAAAACTTTTCTAATGTACATGCGTACATACATGGTGTATTTCTGTAGTACATTGACATTCACACAAACATCACTTTTATGGGTGTAAAATAAAAATGTGCAGGGTTAGGGTTATTTCACCAAAGTTGGGATCTCTACCTATTTTGGGATGAGGCAGAAATTTGCTCATAATAAAAACTGTTGACATAAAATTAAATGAGGTTTTAAACTTTTAAAAAGATCCCCATTTCATTATTAAGATACACAGTTTCATACAGAAAAATTCATTTTAATACAATTACACTAAGATGCACATGTGTTTCTAATCTCTATATATCTGATTATTACTAGTCACAGTCAGTTATTTTCTGAGCTCCTTGGCATCTGAGCATGGATATAAAGTCATCAGGTAGATTTCAGTGGTAGTTTTTTTCACATCTACTAATTACTAAGGAGCAAAATTTTATGCTTTGAAGAGTTATTTTTTTTCTCTTTTTAAAAATTTATTTATACACCCACTTCCCAGGTAACACCCTCCCATAGCCTCCCTCCCCCCACTAGAGCCCTTATACTCTGATATCCCTGCTATGTCTGCTGAGTTGTCGACACCCCCAGACATTCCCCACTACTTACCTTTCTGGTGAATCTAGTCAGCCTATCTAGAGGTCTTTGTTTTAGGAGGGTCAGCTGTTCCTCATCTAGTGGTAATCAGTTGTTAATATTCCTTTGGATAAGATTGGGGTCTGCTGTTCATTTTCCCAGTTCTATGCTGGGTTACTATCTGGGAATCCCTTTGGCTACCCTGGCCAACAACTCAAAAGAAGGTGTCTCCTATCTGACATTGTTGCTTATTATGTAGCCTTTAGCTGTACATATGGACTCTCAGAAGTTATGTTGGCCCTTTTATTCTTTGGTTATACTTTCCTTTTGGGTGTTTAAGGCCATACAGTTGGTCCAGATAAACCGATTTATTTTTACTCTTAA